CTATATTGCATTATAAGAGATACCTTACTTAGGAATGATAAGGAGTGGTACACTGTGGTTGCTGGAATAGTACATGTAACTGGAGCTATACTAGAACGATGTTAATAACATTATGGGGCGAGCACGGGCAAAGTTTGATATCATAAATGCTAAAAAGTATCTGTTTTGACATTGAAAATGAAGTAGAAATTAATAAAATTCAATCAATGAAAATGATTAGTAATGAAAGCAGCATTCTTGCATCCCCAATTGATTTGAGCTGGGATGATAGCCAGCACCGTCGCGAATAGGTGATGCTGCGTAGCTGGCCCCCCACCGCTACCACCCATTCCACAACCTAAGGATGAAAAGGAATGGCATAATACTATAATCATTATTATAAATATCACCTTATTTATAGGTTGATTGTTGCCATATTGAAGTCAGCCTGGTCTGTCATTGATGCGCAAGCTGCATAAAATAAAAAATATATATAAAGGAGTCATTATTCATGTTAATTTTATACAAATTACACATGCAATAAAAAGAGAGATGTGAAAAATAATGTAAAGGATAGTCATAAATAACATGATTACTTTTGTTAAAAAAATAATGCTGCTTAGTGCTTACTAACTTTTCTTTTCCTGTAGTAGAGACTCAATGGAATTAACTCTGCATGGTTGAACCTCTAGTGCCAAAACAAAGTGGCAGCTAGGAATCTAACCTGGTTGAACCTCTAGTGCCATGATAATGGCATCTAGGAATCTAACCTTTCCTCATAGTATGGTTGAACCTCTAGTGCCAAGATAAAGTGGCAGCTAGGAATCTAACCTGGTTGAACCTCTAGCTAGTGCCATGACAATGGCAGCTAGGAATCTAACCTTTCCTCGTGTTAATAGTGTGGTTGAACCTCTAGTGCCATGATGAGGCAGCTAGGAATCTAACCTTCCCTCCAAGCACCACTCACTCTTTCCTGATCTTTACCTATTGCCTATAATAAATAAAATCATTATGTAATAATGTTAAACATCTTTAGAAAAAGAATAAGGGAAATTGAACAAAAGGGTAACATGTACATGTATACTAACTATGAACATTTGCTAAATACTAGAGGAAGAAAGAATGAACTTGTTATTGCATTTTTATGAATCATGTTGCTTGTGATTTAATTACAAGCGATTGTGTCACATGAGAGAATAATTACAGGCTGGAACAGGTGCATGTACTGTACATATTAAAATGTATGTATGAATCACTTATCTTTAGTTGACATCAGGAGACTGTTAATGTTGGGATCCACTCCATGTATTCACTTTCATCAATGTATATACATGTATCTCCAAGAGATGGTTCTGGTGTTGATTCTTGAAGAGAAAGCAGTCGCTTATCTTCTTCTTTTCTTTCATGAAGACGACGACTCCTAGCAATGCT